TCTGCAATATTTGATTATGCTACCCGCTACAGGGTTATATGCACGATTCAAAATTATATTGTTTTCCAAATTATCCATAAATAAATTTGCTATTGAAGGTGCAACAGGGCTGCCCATGGCCACTCCTTGTATTTGAAAATAATATTTTTGGTCGAATTTAAAGAAATTTTTTTCGAGAATGATATCAAGGAGGTCCAACAAAAAGAAAGTGGGAGGGTGACAGTTTGATCTCCTGTTCAGAGTAGACTCACATATAGTGCGTGCCTCTTCTATTGGAATGCTAGTGTACAGTGAAGTTACATCTATAGACATCAGAACAGCATCTGTTGGAATCACCAAGGGTTCAATGATATTAATAAAATGTTTAGTGTCCCTAACATAAGATGAAGTCTGTTTTACAAAGGGTTGTAAATGGTGGTCCACAAATTTTGCTAGTGGTTCTAGAATGGAGCCTGATCCTGATATGATAGGACGGCCCGGAACTGGCCTGATGTTCTTATGTATTTTTGGCAGAATATACAGGACAGGGGTTCTGGGCCATGGAGTGTGTAGATACTTATATACATCCTCTGATATATATCCAAGTGACAGTCCTTCCATTGTCACTGTTTTTATAATAGATTGGATGTGATGTGTGGGATCCCGTTCTATACTAAGATAGTGTTCTCTTATTGATAATTGTCTGTGGATCTCATTCATATAATCAGTATGGTTCATTAACACTATGGCTCCACCCTTGTCAGCCGGCTTCCAAATGAGGTTTTTGTCATTGGCTAAACTACGAAGCGTGTTCCACTCACTGTTAGAAAAGTTTGTACTGTGTGTCCCTTTGTTTTTTGTGAATGTGTGACATAGTTCCTCACATACTGTTTTTTCAAAAACCCTAAGTCCTATATGGTCTGTGCTAGGAAAAAAGTTACTACGAGGTTTGAAGGTAGAAGTAGTGATGTTTTTCGTGGTCCCAAAATGCTGTCTTAATCTGATGGTACGGAATAGCCTAGCTAATTCTATACGCATCTTAAATGGATTATATTTGGGTTTGGGAACAAATGTTAGCCCTTTATTAATAACGTGCTTTTCCTGAGGGGTTAAAACTCTGTTGGATAGATTTACTATTAAGTTTTCCGTTTCACATTTGGAGCCTCTTGAAAAAAACGATTAGGTTTGTTTCTGATACGACCCGTACGTCTAGGTGTGTGGGTGTTGTCCCTCCTGTATGAGGCCACACTATGTCCTGAACTATCTGACATAGAGCCTGTGTCTTCTTCAGAAGTGAATTCACTGAATCTTACTTGTTTTCTAGAGTGGTAGTGTTTGGAGTATAGCC